GATGGCCAGCGCAAGAGTTTCCCCTTCTTTTTCCCACTCTTCCGACAGTGACGATGAGGATGAGGTATGTGCAGGAATATTTTAGTGGTATTTAGACAGTGGTCGGAACTGCACAGACGCTCGAAAAAGAAGAAAAATCAACATCGAAAGAAAATGAAACCAGATTCAAAAACATCAAACGTCGAGGAAGGAGAGATCTTCAGCGATGAGTTGGATGATGATGACGATGATGGGCTGGATGAGAACCTCATCGGAGGCGAAGAAGACAAAAGAAAGTTGGAAAAAATGAGTGAAAAAGAGAGAGAGGAGGAGCTATTCAAACGTGCTGAGCGGCGTGATGCGATCATGGTAAATAGCATTTCAATTTTGACAAACGCCACAGGCACGTAGGCTAGTTAAGCAAAAACTGAAAGAGAAATGGAACCGTGAGCGGGCGGAAACAGCGAAGCAGAATGATGCAGGTGCAAAGCCAAAGAAACGATCGGCCTACGAAGACATTTTTAGTTCGGATACGGAAGAAGCTAAAAATAGTGATTCTAGTGGTGCGGGACCTCGTGGCCTTCGGCAAAGAAAAATAGCTCTCGAAAAGCGAAAGGTGAGTCCACTTTTACTTTTCCCCTATCCTGGCGTTCGATCATGTAAAATATAATCGTCCTAGCTGTTGGTTCTCGCTCGATGGGTCCATCAGAACGCCACCCTGATACTTTTGCAGGTAGAGTCAAGAATCTGATTTCGGAATATTTCGGAATAACCGTGTTTATCACAGTTCTACTGAATAGATCCGATTTTTACGAAGTGATGGTTATAGACCCGCTTCGTTCACTACAGGGAACCAAAAACCGTCCACGTCATCACCGTTGTTTGTTGAAGAGAAAGCATTCTTCACAAACCGTGGACTCGACTAGCCCCGGGGTTTCAATCTGGGAGGCAGGTATAACCAGTTGATAAGCAAGCTGTGTAGCATCAGCTCATTCAACTTTTTAAATCAGCATGGACAAAAGTTTAAAACATCTAAAGAAGCTGGATAGGGATATTGACGATCCTTATCGGATCCATGCTAGGAGAGGTGAAAACAGCAGGAACAAGCAGCTAGTACTTGCATTTCACTTCAGGTCATACAATCGTTAACCCTTAACATTCGTGCAGCGGTTTTGGTAGACTGAAGACTACCGATTTAAATAGCTGAGTGCATTGCTCGCAGAATGCAATTAAGTTCAATTTAGAAAATTAATTATTCACCTTCGTACACCGTCTTTGGTTATTGTCTCATTTAGGTGAGGGAGTAAAGGTAACAATGGAATGTTTGAGTCATTGTCAGAGTGAAGATGCAAAATTCATTTTCAACAAGATTACATGAAAGAAATTGATATAAATTGACGGGTTGCATAGGAGCCATTGTTTGTCTATCCAGCGTTCATGCTGATTCTAACGTTACTGTTATATTTAACACGTATGAGTTCTGACCGTGTACCAAACAATTCTTAGTGTCATAATCTTCATAAAAGAAGACAAAAGTTCCGTGAGTTGTTTGCGGGTGTGATACTCCTAGGTTGCTCAGGCCAAAGAAGACGAATAGTCTTGGGGAAATCACAACCGGAGCCTTAGATTAACCAAAGCCTGACCCACAAGGCAGCGGGGAGATTTGTAAAAATCGCAATCCATCAAGGGCCGGTGTCCAGTTGATCAGATCATACGCCGAACACGATACCCAATGGAGCCAGTGACCATCGCCACAACCAGGTGTGGTTGTTTGTGGCTCGTAAGCCTAATCTTGGTTGAATTTTTAGCCAACTCCTGGTTGGATTGTCAGTGGTTCACCGGTTGGTTTTTCATCCTCAGTCGAGTGCAAAAACACCGCCGTTAGAAGGCAGTGAGTAGGAATTCCTCAACAGGGACCGTTTGAGACGCTTGGTCGTATAGGAGCATTTCACGAGATGCAAGGGGAGGGTGACCAACCACAGCCTCAGACCCATCCCCGATCAAACAGAGTCTTACAGATCCTGAGGTGTATACTCGCGAAGCTTAACGCAACCCATAAACAATGCTGCCGCAAACGTCATCATAAGCACTGTACAGTGCACTACAGCGAAACGAATTTCACTGATCGCTGCCTAACTTATAATGCATTCAAGGTAAGTGATAATGTGCAAGGAGGAGAGGGAAAGAAATCGAAGCACCATAGTCAATATAGAGCACTGCGACTGCGCATGCATACTATTTCAAGCATTCTGGTCTGATAAGAAGTGACGGCAAGATCATCACTGCTGTCGGTTTGCTGCCACAACCTTCAGTGTCCCTAACCCGGAAGACGAGAGATACCTTAATCGCTTTTCATACCTCATCTCCACTTCATCTGCTGGTCTCCGCGTGGCTTTCTTCAGTCTGCAACAGCCACTGCAAATGAGGCGCGCTACGATAGGTGACCGTTAGGCATACACAAAACGTGTTCTAACCAGCAGAGCTTATTGAGCTGAATTCGATCCGATAGCGAGTTCTTGTTTGACGCATTCCCAAACAACCGACGACTTACTTCAAAGTTACTAACCCGCTCATTCCATCCCACGTAGGCCAGTTTGCGTAAGTATCCATTGTCGAAAACTGCCAAACGGATATCTACCTGCGAATTCAAGATCTCAACCGTAAGGCAGAACTGATCGTACAGTAGCGCGGTATACGGGACTTTTCAACTTCAATGAAACGTCACATCGTCACCACAGGTGTTCAAGTCCTACGTACGCTGATCGAGCCTGGGAAACGATGGTGGCTATCTTCTTTGATGCGCGACCGTCGTTGGTCACGCAGCTACCGAAGTACGAGAAGCAGTCCATTTCAGCTAATTCCTCACCACCTGGTTTCAGAACGGAACTCGGCAGCACCCAGTCTTGCAGCATCACTTTGCGTCGGCGCTTCGTTCTGTGGCTGTTGACTCGTACAGAACCCTTTTTCTCTCACCCAACTGGGCGGCCAAGATCAGCGAGGTAAACCGGCGCACAAAAGTGCTTGGTTAATGGCTTTATAAAGTGAACTAAAACAACCGTTGAGACGTACAACGCACAATAGGCTACTGACTGGAGTCCAGTCAAGAAGCGAGCACTCAGCCTTGGCACTTAGTGCAATCTCAACACCAGTAACACCGCTTGCTTCGAATGCCGAATTGCCTGACGCATGAGCATGAGGTCGGATCTGAAGATCGCAAGGTGATGATTAAAGCGGAGCCTTGTCTGCGTGTTTCGGAGACAGCATACGTCCAAGATTATTACCTCAAGGGTTCTAGCTAAGGCAACATTTTGACCGATCTGGTAGTGTGCGGATATTGAACGCACTTAAATAAAAAGGGAATTTCGGCTTCAAAAATCATAAAA